GCTATACTGGTATGTAAGGGTGTATATGCTGCAACAGGTCACACCTGTCACAGTTTACTCACTCCTGATGCAACAGGGAAATCAGGAGGGGGATTGAGAGTCCAGAAGTCAATCTTCCTCTTGGGTTGGTTTGGGGGAAGCATAACAATGTGCTTGCTCTAGACTACCTCACAAATTGGCATTCTCCCAGTGTGTATTCAGAGCCATATTTGCTGACTTTAATTCTTTTTTTAAATGTATTTGCTACCTTCTACTACTGTCAACCTTACAGAGCCAATACAGTTCAGGAAGAGTGAACCAGATTCTCTTATAGTTTGTATATCACCAGTAGATTATTATCTAGGTTTCAGAGTAACAGCCATGTTAGTCTGTATTCGCAAAAAGAAAAGGAGTACTTGTGGCACCTTAGAGACTAACCAATTTATTTGAGCATAAGTTTTCATGAGCTACAGCTCACTTCATCAGATGCATACTGTGGAAAGTATAGAAGATCTTTTTATACACACAAAGCATGAAAAAATGGGTGTTTACCACTACAAAAGCGATCATGATATCATACACATTGTAAGGAGAGTGATCACTTTAGATAAGCTATTGCCAGCAGGAGAGTGGGGTGGGGGGAGAGAAAACCTTTTGTAGTGGTAAACACCAATTTTTTCATGCTTTGTGTGTATAAAAAGATCTTCTATACTTTCCACAGTATGCATCCGATGAAGTGAGCTGTAGCTCACAAAAGCTTATGCTCAAATAAATTGGTTAGTCTCTAAGGTGCCACAAGTACTCATTATCTAGGTTCTAACTGTCAGGTCACCTGTGCAACCCCACTGTCTTCAGATTACACACCCAGTTACACCTGTGCAACCTCACAGTCTTCAGATTACACACTCAGTTACACCTGTGCAATATTACTGTCTTCAGATTACACACTCATTGAAGGCAATGGGTTTGCATAACAGTAACAACATAATCTGAGGACAATGTTAGACCTCAATCTTCTATTTATTTAGGAAGTTTTAACAAGTTTATAAATCACTGCTATGTAAATATCAGAAACAATCATTACAGTAACAAGCTTTTTTTCAAAGAGACATTATATAGGAATATAGCCATCAGATCTTTCTATTAAATAGGATGTTACTATATTACACAGTAAGAATCATTACAACACCCAAGATACGTTGTTTCTAGCGATTTTATTAAATTGAGTGAAATTGCTATATTTATATTTAGCAGATCAGGCATATATATCAAATGTTAACCATCAATAATATTGGACCGATGTGCTTTTTTGGTTGCAGATGAATGTAGTTTGGTTCAACACAAATTTTAAAACATTCAGGTATTCAATCATGAATTGGACCATTTTTCATTTTTGCTTCAACACATACTGGAATCTCTGAGCCCTGCTTTTGGTGATTTGACTGGCATCCAGTAAATTCTATGAGTTAAGAAAAACTGGTTACTAGCTTTGCATACCAGACCTTTCTAAAGTTTTGATAGATTAACTCCATCGCCTTCCCTTCGCTGACTTTGCTGGGCATTCACTAATATAGCAATAAGGGACTCAAGGACAGGGGTGAAAGTAAGTTAGAGGACTCACCAGTAAGCCGGAGTCCTGAGCAGGTGGCGTGGCATCAACCGGAAGAGGCGGAGCCTTAAGTCCCCGGGCCCTTTAAATCTTGATTTAAAGGACCAGGGCTCCAGCTGCGGTAGTGGCGGCTGGGAGCCCGGGACCCTTTAAATCACCCCCGAGCTACCAGCTGCAGAGGCGGTGGGAACCCCGGGGCTCAGGGGCGATTTAAAGGGCACAGGGCTCCAGCTGCCGCTGCTGCAGAGGAGCCCCGGGCCCTTTAAATCACTGAGGAGCCCTAGGGGCTCCTGGCTGCCACCGCTACCCCAGGGCTCTGGGCTCCGGCAGAGCTTTAAAGGGCCTGGGGCTCTGCTGTGGTAGCAGCTGCTGGAGCCCTGAGCCCTTTAAATCCCCGCCTGAGCCCTGCTGCCCGAGCCCTGGGGTAGCGGCGGTGGGGCTCCAGAGTGGATTTAAAGGGCCGGGGCAGTAGCGGTGGCTGGACCCCCGGGGCCCTTTAAATCCCCGACGGAGCCCAGCCGCCGCTACCCCAGGGCTCGGGCAGCAGGGCTCAGGCGGGGATTTAAAAGGCCCCAGGGGGGTAGCGGCGGCTGGAGCTCCGGGGCCCTTTAAATCCCCACCTGAGCCCTCCTCCCTGAGCCCTGGGGTAGCAGCAGTGGGGATTTAAAGGCCTGGGGCGGTAGTGGGGACTGGAGCTCCAGGGTCCTTTAAATCCCCCGCCAGAGCCCTGCCACCACTACCCCAGGGCTTTGGAGGCAGGGCTCAGGTGGAGATTTAAAGGGCCGGGGCGGTAGCAGCGGCTGAAGCTCCGGGGCCCTTTAAATCCCTGCCACAGCTACCCCAGGGCTTTAAATTGCCCTCTGGGAAAGCCGGTCCCGGTACGGCACACCGGCTCTTACCGGTACGCTGTACTGGGCCGTACCGGCTTACTTTCACCTCTGCTCAAGGATATGAGTAGGGTATTGGTGAACATGTCATGTGCATTATGAAGTGGTAAGCTAAAGGCTAACTGCCTTCTTATTTGACTGAAATGCATGAATAACCTCGTAATGGGAACAGTGGTTGTAGTGGAAGTGTAGGGCAAAGAAAAATTAAGATATGCTATTAAAATATGGTTCATTTTTGTTTTATTAAAAACTTTTTCAAAAACTATTTTTGGTACAAGGTGGATTATTCAGTACATCCTTCCACAATAGAAAACAATTCTTAGGAGAAGACAGGACAAAACAATAAGGACACATTTTTTCACCTACTATTTTGAACGTATTTACTATTTCTTTTTAATTTTTTAAAATCCTTTTTAAGATTCTCCTGATTATTTGGGTCCTTTCTGCCTCCTTTTATTTCCCAGAAGTTTAGCTACCCCTGTTTGTGGCCAAACAGCCACTTTCAGTTTAGTTTCTCTTACAACAACTAACTTTGGAGCATTGAACAGTTCCTAGTTTAGTTTTTACAATAAACACTATGTTACAAGTGATTGCTGGCAGGGTAGAGAAAACAGTTTGCAACTGTTGGGGTTGTACAACAAGATAATTTAATAAAATTAAAGTGAAGCTAACTATGAAGAATAGAATTATGTTACCAGGAAGGTAAATGAGGGACTGACACTAGAGCTGTTCTAAATTGCCTTAGGTAAAATTCATATAGTGTTAACACACAGTACTGGACAACCCCGCAGTACATTTCTGCAAAGGGAAAGACTAGCTTACCCAGGAGTCCTTTTCAACCCAAGCTGTGATTTTATCTAGCATTTTATTTAGAGTATTCCCTCAGCTCAGTTGTTATTCTCCTTTTTAAATACTAAGATCACTCTCATATAAATTATCTTCCTTGAAAACGATACCCAGAAATGCCAGGAGGGCCAAACCCCTCATGTTTTCCCCACATCTTCAGACAGATGTCATCCTATTGACTCTTTTAGGCTAAATTAAATTCAGTAGTAGATAGAAGAGAAGTCTATCAGTGTTTTCAACCCTAATGCAAACCAAACTTTTAAAGCAACTAGTTTTAACCTTTTACATTAGTGCATCTTGTTCATTCAGGCCAGATCTTTCTCCTCCTTTCCTTTCCATACTAGCACCACCCAGCACATAACATAGCAGCTGAATGTATTAAAATTCAGAGGGATAAAATGCAATTCAGCTCTCACACAGACGATTATTCATTCTCATGTAGCTTGTAGTTAAGTTACAGAAACCAGAGGTTCATATGGATCCTACATGTTCACCTGGCTTTATTACTAGACTGCCAATATATGCCGCCTAGGAGAAATGCAATTCGAGGCACCAGCTGCTTTATTTTACTGTCTTACATGGACAAGTAGGTGAGCATCTGCCCTTGTCCACGCCATCAAAACTGAGAAAAATAAAGAGACTAACAATCTAATTAATAGGCAAATAAAATGTAAGCACTAAAAGCAGTAACAGGAAAGCACTGTGGTTGACGTCTATAGGAAAATTAGAGATCGAGAATTTTGTGTGCTTTTATAAAGAAACAAGCCTTGTGCAATACGGGTGATGTAATCCCTCCTATTTACCCATGCAAAACACCTAACTACAGAGCAGATTTTCAAACTCTCTGAAGAGGATGGTAACTTTTTTGACTGCTAGCATGGCCTGGAACAACAGGACATGCTGAGTTTTAATTGTGCCTCTGTCACACACCCTTGTCAGCCAGGCCTACTGGTCCAAGTAGTAGTGGTCAGAGGCCAGGAACAGCACCAAAGGTCAGAGCTGTAGTCAGGAACCAGGAATCAGAGCCAAGGGTCACAGCCAGGGCCAGGAGTCTGAGAGTGAGCCGAGAGGCTGGTCCATTGCTATGGCTGGCAGGGAAGTCCACCTTTTTGCATGGACATTTCCTGGAACTCCTTCTGGGCTTAAATACGGTGCCTGGACCAATCCGGAGCCATGAAAGAAGCGGTCAGTACAGCCTCCTGAGGTACTACTTCCTGTGGTCTTTATCTCTGCAGGATCATCTATTGACAATGTACAGAGGTCCAACATGGCTGCTGCGTAGCAGCACAGAGGTAATGGCTATCAAGCAACCTGAAGTCCTGGGTTCTAGTCCCCGCATAACCTCACAACTGTGAGCTTTGATAAATCACTTCACATCTCAGGCTCATTTTGCTAGTGGTAAAACAGTGCAATGCCTCCTACCTACCCCTAAGTTGTTTTGTGAAAATATTTCATGTCTTGTAATGAACTTTAATAAAATAAAACCTACATAAATGTTCGCTAACATTACAGAAGTCTATGAAATAGTAATTACATAATTCCAACAGGGAATTTTTTAAAAAACAAGACTATACTTGTTCCTAAACTAGATCCACAAATTATGATTAATCAAAACCCCCTTCCCTCCATATTTCCATTACTCAGCATAATCATACATCTTACAAATAATTTATCTATACCTGCTGTTGTCTTTGCCGTCTCATCTGTGCAAACTGAGACATCATGATTTGACGATCCAGTAATTCCATTCTCTGCTGTCTCTGGATGTCCACTGTTGCTCCCATTCCTACTCGAATCTCGTTGGATGGTTCTGCAGATGAGAATATTGGTTCAAGAGTCCAAGAAAATATCTTAGCCAGCCAGCTGGGAACACAAAGCACCTGATGAACTTTTAGCACACTACTGCTGTAGCACATCCCAGAAATCTGAAAGCAAAAGCAAAATAAATTTTTTTTTTGTTATAACACAAAGCCTTAACTGGCTGACAGAGCTATGTTGTTTTTTCACTTTTTCAAGTCACATTTCATTTGGTGTATTTAGCCAGAGTCTTCAGTGGAGAATCCATGTCTCAGAGAATACGGATATAGCACTGTGGGATTTCTTCAACCTACACTTCCACTACAACCACCAACTATTATTTTTAAAAGTCTGCAGATTGCATTACTTGTGACTCAAGTGTATTTCTTATTTCTTTGTTTTAGGGGTAAAGACAAATACCAGCTCAGTGACTTGCTATAGGCAAAATTCAAATAGCTAAAGCTTTTGATCTCTGGTAAAGCAAATGATCCTGGCTGGCCCTAAAGTGGATGTGGGGAGATAGGACCTTGATAACACAGTATTGTGAAGATTTTGGGCACTTGCTTTAAAAAACACCCAACAGTACCCCATGCACCACGTTAAATCCCTGGAGCTGGGGAATGTGAGCCAATCAGCATTCCTCCTTCCCCCTGCTGACCAACGAGTGCCAGAGCCTCCAAAAGGGGGAGGGAAAGAGGAGCTACCTAGTGCCTCCCAGAGTCTCTCTCCCTCCCTTTCACCGCTGACTCCATCAAGTTCCCCAACCCGTTGAGACAGGTGGGTGGCATTTCTGCTTAACTCCATGCTCCTCACCCCCACATAGAGAAGAACAGATATAGTCAAGTTTAAGCTTTAATAGTGGGGATTTCATAGGTTATATAACTAAATTGTTACCTCTTTCAGAGTACACAGACTGTTACTTTAAAATAATTAAATCTAGCAATTTTTCTAACAATTTTTTTAAAGTTCATCAAAACCCTATTAATTTTTAAATGGCAGCACTAGAGAGGTTAATGAGTCTAATGAGAAACTTCCTCTTCCTATGAGATTCCTTCTGTAATACCCTGTTAATGGGCCAAGTCCCTATCCCACTTTCAACAAAGTGCACAGCCTACAGGGTCCACATTTACCTCCTCTCTGGAATTTTGCTTTATTGCTACCCCAAAAACAACATGAACCTTCACCCTATGTTTCATCTATAAGAATGGCTGTTTTTACGGTTTTCTCCAAGGCTACCTCTCTGTCCTAGCTGCTTACATCCCACTTAGCACTAACTGGAGCCACCCACAGCATAAATCATCATAATAGCCACCTTGAATTCCATTACAGAGCTTTAGCCCCTGCAGCTAAGATGACTCAACAGAAGGGGCCACATTCCTTCAGAGAGTCTTAGTGTCCCCATGACCCAAGAACCTCTGGATGCCAACTGGCAGAGGGCACTTGGGTGTAGAGGAGTACAGAGATTCCGAAGGTTCACCAAAAGAATGTCATGTAAGGTCTCTAATGAAAGTCACTGGTCATCATAATCATTGTGAGATGTATGTATGGAGAATATGTGAAGAATTATGTATATAAAAGTTTATGTTTTCTAGGTCACAGTTAAAAACAGGTCACTCAAAAGTAGTCTGTCTTGAGACAAATTCTTCTAGGCAGGTTATGGGAGACACTTATCTCCCGGGGCTGGGGACACCACTGTGCAGTGTGTCCTACAAAAGGAGTCTGCTAGCATTCTAAGATAAATGCTAATGAAGAGATGGTGGAGACTTCAGAAAAAATCCAACAGGAAGAAATAAACAGTTAATCTTCAGGTGAACATCAAAGGTCTGTTCTGGTATATTTGGAGGAGCAAAGAGACATCCTGGTATTCTTCATCTAGGAAGTAAATGCACAGTTTGCTTTATGAAAAAATGATCTCTACCCAAGCTTGGTGGAGAACACTGGAAAGAAGTTTGGGTGAGATAAACTTATTTAGACTGGAGGATAACTTCTTAGTTAAATTTAGGCTTTAGAATATGCATTGTGGTATGTTGTTTTACATATAATCTTTTGTTCCCATCTCTCTCACTGCTTTTTATTTGAATCTCTATTTTTTCTTAAATATATTTCCTTATGTTTTATATCTGAACTCAAGTGCTGTGCGTATGACTTGAGTGGTGGTCCAAAGTAAACCTTGTAAACTGTGGTACAGTGTTCAAGGACCACCCTTCCCCCGAGAAGAATACCTCCCTTTTCTCCACCTTTTGTCTTTTTTTCTAGTGCATTCTCAATGAAATTCTCATTCTCAATGGATGAACAATAGACATTTATGTAATCAGAAAAATGGAACAAAGTTGATTCACATGTGCTTTTTCCTTTACTTGCAGCAATAAATTCTACATTCCATACAGAGGTTAGTAGTGTACAAGCAAGTAAATATTGAATGAATGTGGGGTGGTTATAATCCTTGCACATCCTTGTTGTGATGATCATGTTTACAGTTCTCTTGTGCCATCACTGGTCTCTTTCTGTCTATGTCACACAGCGCTATCACAGTTTATTGCTTGTGGCATAACAGATCAGAAAGGCATGTCACAAACACTGACATTTGTGATGTCACAAATGCTGAAATGACTGTAATGCTTCGCAGGGCACCAAGGGCAGTGTGTCATCTTGTTACCATCTGCCTGCAGAGCGAGGGAGTCTTACCTGTACCTGCTAGCTCCTTAACAAAACCAGCCTGATCACCACTTACGCAGTCTAAGTGTATCTAGCCCCTGTTCAATGGATACCCACAGAAATCCCATATCCTGTGTTCCCGAAGGAATCACAGAACTGGAAGGGACCACGAGAGGTCATCTAGTCCAGTCCCCTGCACTCAAGGCAGGACTAAGTATTATCTAGACCATCCCTGACATGTGTTTTTCCAACCAGCTCTTAAAAATCCCAAATGATGGAGATTCCACAACCTCACTAGGTAATTTATTCCAGTGCTTAACTCTCTGACAGGAAGTTTTTCCTAATGTCCAGTCTAAACTGCCCTTGCTGCAATTTAAGCCCATTGCTTCGTGTCCTATCCTCAGAGGTTAAGAACAACAATTTTTCTCCCTCTTCCTTGTAACAACCTTTTATGTACTTGAAAAGTGTTATGTCCCCTCTCAGTCTTCTCTACTCCAGACTAAACAAACCCAATTTTTTCAATCTTCCCTCACAGATCATGTTTTCTAGACCTTTAATCATTTTTGTTGCTCTTCTCTGGACTTTCTCCAATTTGTTCACACCTTTCCTGAAATGTGGCACCCAGAACTGGACACAATATTCCAGTTGAGGTTTAATCAGCACAGAGAAGAGTGGAAGAATGACTTCTTGTGTCTTGCTTACAACACTCCTGCTAATACAGCCCAGAATGATGTTTGCTTTTTTTGCAGCAGCGTTACACTGTGGACTCATATCTAGGCTGAACTGAAATGAAGTTCCCCGTATTCAAAGAAAGGTTTTGATTGGCTTCCAAACCTAGACCAAGATTGGGCATGGGCATGGGAATGGGAGCTTTTTTATTTCCTCTCAACTATGTCCCACATCTCTACTAAAAATCTATTATAAGGGAACTAAACCTACACCAGAAACTTGCGATTGTCAGTCAGAAACTAGTCTATGACTATCAGCACCATTATATGAGTACCCGCTCAACATTTTTCTTTACTATCTAGAACAACTAGTCGAAACTATTGAGCACTCATCTGTCCATTTTTTAAAAACCATTGATTTTCAAAACAAGCTATAACTTAAATGAGCTCAGTAGGTAACAGCATAACGTTACCATCCGCCACAAGAACAAAAAACAAAGCAAGTGATGACAGTTAAAGGAAAATCTATATCAGGCTTGACAAATCCTGCAGTATGACTAATGGTGTTTTAACCACAAACAGAACAATCTCCATGCCAATTTCAGATACAATCATAGCTCTGAGTCACTAACAGCACACAACCAAGGGGCAGCATGTAGAGTTTCAGTACCTTAAATGTTTTTGTCCCAGAAGGGCTAGAGTGCACTAAAGAGGGTTAGAAATAACTATCCTGACAAAATTTATATAAACTTATATAATTTTTATCATAAATGGTTATTACCATAATGTAAGCTCTATACTAAACTACAGAACAAAAAGCACAGTGTGAGAGAGAAGACTAGTAGGTGAGGGACCTAGTGGAAAAAGAGTGGTATATACCGCTTGCGTGTCCAAAATATGTGTGTGTGTGTGTGTATAACCTGTGACTAGCTTGGTCATTGAGTGTCATTTTCATGATGTTTCAATAGGTGGTTTTTATCCTGGCAGTTCCCATCTTCCTCCCTCCCCCAATTTGCAGATGGGGTACTCATGCACAGAGAGGCTAAGTGACTTGCCCAAAGTCATACAGAAAGTCTACGTCCCAGGATAGTGCCCCCACAACTGGGTCATCCTTCCTCCTGTGTCCAAAGTATACTACCTGGCAACTATAAAATTTGAAGGAAGAGTTCTCTGCAGCACAGTGAGCCTGCATAGTTGATCTGCAGGACATTAAAATGTCTCAAAAAGCATAAATGCATGGACGAATCCATTCAATTGTGAAAAACACTGTTTAAATGTACACAGTTTTAATTCATCCTACCACTTCCATATTTGTTAATTTTTTCGTTAGTGTCACTTCAGATCCTTCATGATTTACTACTGCAGTTATAAAGCTATTAGCTGGACGTGTGCGTACCTTTTAACACATCACTCACTTCATTCTAAAATATTTTCATGAAGTCTAATCTTTTGAGGAAGAGATTATTTGCATATTTCCAATAAACTCTTCAAGAGTGGAATTATGTACAGTGAATATATCTTGTGATGCAGCTTGGTTTAATGTCATGCCCACATTTTAATGTCACGCCCACATTTTAATGTCACATATTTCCAAAGAACTTCCTCTTCAGCTAATTCACATGCAGAGCTTGGTTTGTATCATGTTAAAAACAAGACTTGAAAAAGTATAGGTATAGAAATTTTGAGTTACTTTTCTTTTTGTAAAACAAGATTTTATTTTTGTTACTGACTTTTTGAGAATCTCTAGTGGTTCAGGTCTACTAATTTACTAGTAAATTATGTTAATTACAGATCATTCAGTGATC